CTAACAGAAATAAAGGGGGAAGTAGATTACAGCACATTCACTGTAGGAGACTTTAGCACACCACTCACATCAGTAGACAGATCAACCAGACAGAAAATAAATAATCAGAGACACTGAACAATACATTGGATCAGATGGACTCAACAGATATCTACAAAACACTCCCTCCAAAAGCAGTAGGATACACATTTTTCTCAAGTGTACATGGAATGTTCTCCAGAATAGATCACATGCTGGGCCACAAAAAGTGTCTCAATAAATTTAAAAAGATTTAAATTGTTTCAAGCAGCTTCTAAGACCACAATGGTATGAAACTAGAAAAAAATTACACAAAGAAAACAAAAAAGCCTATAAACACATGGAGTCTAAACATGTTTCTAAATAATAAGTGTAAATAGTAATAATAAATACTATTCTAAATAATAAATAATGAACAAATTAAAACAGAAGTCAAGCAATACAAAGGGACAAATGGAAACAAAAATACAGCAGTCCAATATTTGTGGGATGCTGCAAAGGCCATTCTTAGAGGAAAGGACGTAGCGATACAGGCTTACTTTAAGGAACAAGAACAATCCCAAATAAACAGTATAAACTGACAATTAAAGAAACTAGATAAAGAACAAATGAAACTCAAAATTAGTAGAAGGAGGGACATAGTAAAGATGAGAGCAGTAATAGATAATATAGAGAAGAATAAAACAACAGAAAAAATTAAATGAAACTGAGAGCTGGTTCTTTAAGAAAATAAACAAAATAGGGAAACCCCTAGCAAGGCTTATCAGGAAAAAAAGAGAGAGTACACAAATAAAATTAGTAACAAGAAATAGTCACAATAATATGAGAGACATACAAGACTTATTGGAGAATACTATGAAAAAAGTATATGCCAATAAATTGGACAACCTAGAAGAAATGGAAAAATTTCTAGAAAAATACAACCTCCCAAGACTGACCCAGGAAGCAACAGAAAATCTGAACGTACCAGTCACCAGCAAAGAAATCAAATTGGTAATAAAAAAACTCCCAACAAATGGAAGTCCAAGACCAGATGGCTTCACAGCTGATTCTACCACACATTTGAAGAAGAGCTAATTCCCATATTTTTAAAGTATTCCAAAAATTAGAAGGGGATGAAATGCTTCTAAACTCATTCTATGAGGCCAACATCACTCTAATACCAAAACCAGGCAAAGATACTACAAAAAAAGGAACATTACAGACTAATATCTATAATGAACATCGATGCAAAAATCCTCAACAAAATATTAGCAAACTGAATTCAAAAATACATCAAAAGGATCATCCATCACAACCAAGTGGGATTTATTCCAGGGATGAAAGGATGGTATAATATTCATAAATCAATCAATATCATCCACCACATTAACAAAAGAAGGATAAAAACCACATGATCATCTTAATAGATGCTGAAAAAGCATTCAACAAAATTCAGCATCTGTTCATGATAAAAGCTCTCAACAAAATGGGCACAGAGGGTTTGTACCTCAACATAATAAAGGCCATATACGACAAACCCTCAGCTTACATCATATTCAAGGGCGAAAAACTGATTTTCCTCTGAGACCAGGGACAAGTCAAGGATGTCCACTATCACCACTTTTATTCAACATAGTAGTGGAGGTCCTAGTCATGGCAATCAGACAACACAGAGAAATAAAAGGCATTCAAATTGATAAGGAAGAAGTTAAACTGTCATTATTAGCAGATGACATGATATACATAAATAAATATATTAAACCCTAAAGACTCCACCAAAAACTTATTAGAACTGATAACTGGATTCAGCAAAGTTGTAGGATACACAATTAATGCACAGAAATCTTTTGAATTCCTATATACTAACAATGAACTAGCAGAAAGAGAAATCAGGAAAACAGAAATCAGAAAAATCCATTTATAATTGCATCAAAAAGAATAAAATACTTAGGAATAAACCTAATGAAGGAAGTCAAAGATCTATACTCTGAAAACTAAAGGACACTCTTGAGAGAAATTTTAAAAGATGCAAATAAATCAAAATCTATCCTGTGTTCATGGATAGGAAGAATTAATATTGTCAAAATGACCATCCTGCCTAAACCAATTTACAGATTCAATGCAATCCCTACCAAAATGCAACAGCATTTTTCAATGAACTAGAACAAATAGTTCTAAAATTCATATGGAACCACAAAGGACCCCGCAAAACCAAAGCAATCCTGAGAAAGAGCAAAGCTTGAGGGGTTATGCTCCCTTACTTCAAAGCTACAGGAATCAAAACAATGTGGTACTGGCACAAGAACAGAGCCATAATCAATGGAACAGAGAGCCCAGATACAAACCTATGTATATATGGTCAATTAATATATGATAAAGGAGCCATGAATACACAATGGAGAAGATAGCCTCTTCAATAACTGGTATTGAGAAAACTGGACAGCTACATACAAGAGAATAAAACTGGATTGCTTCCTACCTCCATACAAAAGTAAAATCAGTTGGATCAAAGATCTAAATGTAAGACATGAAACCATAAAACTCTTAGAAGGAAACATAGTCAAAAGTCTCTTCAACACAAGTTTGAGCAACTTTTTCCTGGACACATCTCCTCGGGCAAGGGAAACAAAATAAAAATGAACAAGTGGGACTACATCCAACTAAAAAGCTTCCGTACAACAAAAGACATTATTGGCAGAACAAAAAGGAATGTACATGATGGGGGAATATATTAATAACTGATTTATCCAATAAGGAGTTAACATCCAAAATATATAAAGAGCTCATATACCTCAACACCAAAAAAACCCCCAAATAACCCTATTAAAAAATGGGTGGAGGACGTGAACAGATATTTCTCTAAGGAAGAAATACAGATGGCCAATAGAAACCTGAAAAGATTCTCCACATTGAAAATCATCAATGAAATGTAAATCAAAACCACCATGAAATATCACCTCACACCAGTCAGAATCGTCACTGTCCAAAAGGTAAGAAATAACAAGTGTTAGCAAGGATGCGGAGAAATAGGAACCCTCCGACACTGCTGGTGGGAATGTGAACTGGTGCAGCCACTGTGGAAAGCAGTGTGGAGGTTCCTCAAAAAACTAAAAATAGAAATACCATTTGACCCAAGAATTACACAGAGTAATTCCACTTCTAGGAATTTACCTGAAGAAGACAAAATCACTACTTTGAAAAGATATATGCACCCCTATGTTTATTGCTGCATTATTTACAATAGCCTAGATATGGAAGCAACCTAAGTGT